TCAAGTTTTACAACTATCAAATTTCATTTTTTGGTAAAGACAAAAAACAGAGAGCCAGACGGACAGAAAGGCAGATAGACATTTTTTTTAAACAGAAAGAATGACGGTGTAGATGGACATACAGATATCTATATTAGCACAAACATCTCTGATTCATTGCGTTTGTATTGAAACTATCTTATCTCATGTGTTTGTAAAATTGTACAACGAATTTAACACTCAAAATGGGGATCTATTACCACTGGCAAAGCAACAGTAAGTCAGTTTACTCCGAATATAGCTCCTCATCAATATTTGTAGCACAATTTAGTTAAACCAGAGACACAGATAACATGTTATCTATACATGTCTCTGGTTAAACCATGGAGCTCAACAACAATTTGAACTGCTTGCTGTGACTGTAAAATAAGTTTTCTCCCTTTTTTGGAATCACAATTTTGAAATTACATAATCATTGTAAAGTATGTATCTGTTTTTGACTCCCCTGACATCTCATATATCACTAGTATGTAAAAAAGATAATATACTCGTATCACACTCAGTATTACCTTTCAATTCTTATCTTCCAAATGTTATTAAATTGAAAACATAGTAGCTATCATACACAATGACATTTTTATACCAAAAACTAATAATCTGTTAATAAATATCATGCATTTATGATTCTAAAATTAATAACAATTTATTCAGATTTCGTGCATTGTTTACCCAAACACGCTTCCGTAGTTACATTTTGAAGCTACCCAGGATAAACTTAAATTTGTTTATTTTTATTTTTCCTACTTCATAAACATCTTATTATCAAAAGGAATGTTAATATATAGGCTAATGATTATTTATATCTCATGAAAATTGAAAAATCTTTACTGTTTTAAACGACAACGCTGATTTATATACACGCGAAAACCCATTACAATTCATTCATTGTATTTGGTATTTGGGCATGTACGAGGCTAAAAGTTGTAAAAACAAGTAAATATAATATGAAAATTGATACATACTTTGCACAACAGCTTCTAAATCCAACTCCAAGTAGTAAATGTGTTAATTTTGATATATTTAAATCGCGCGGCCTCATAACTTTTGTTTACCTCGACACCGGTTACAGTATAAAACTCTGTGTATGGTGTACATGCAGAGCCATATAAAAACTCGAAAGAAATGCAAAATTTGAATTGCTTTTTTTACTGGTTTGCCATGGTTAGATTTTTTTAGGGTTTTTACCTGTTTTGTATGATGTGTATAACAAACTAAAAATGTAAAAAAGCTTGTGTTGCAATTTGTTTGACGTTAAACTTTACTTTAATCGGACTACATGTGTTGATGATAAATGAGTTTCAATTATGTTATATCCACCAACAAACCTTCACTTGTACACAAACTAACCTGACAACAACGTCAAAATTCCAAATGCCTTTGCTTTCTTGAACCTGTTTTGCGGGCTTGTATTTACAAAAGTAGCAGCGCCGAATTAACACTATTGCAGATGGGCAACATTTCCGACATATTTTGCAGAAACAATCGATATTACAGGAAGCATATATCGTGCTAATTGTTTTAACAATTTAAAACAGATATTTATAATTGGGTAACTCAGTCGAGTGTTCATATCCGTCAATCACAATTTTTCTTGCAAATCTGTTATAATATAGTTAAACATAAACAATACAAAGTCAGCTTTGAAGACGTCTATACTAAATGAACAGTTTAAAAGAGTTATTTGTGTTACAAATACTTCAACAGTTAACCATGTGTGTGTGTTAAAAGTGAGAAAATATCTTACATAGAAAAGAAGTTTGTTTTAGTTGTATTAATAGCATGTAGTTATTATAAGAAATGTTAAAATTCGAAGTACATCCGAACATTACATTTCTATGTGTCATTTATCGAATATCCGTCCCAAGAGTAGCTACCAATTTTAAGCGTTAAATAAGCATACTATAAATGGCTAACAACAAAAGATAAACTTTTCATGAAAATCAAAATAATTTTATACGTTAATACATTGTATTTTCTTCTTAAAATAGCGTAATGAACTTACAACTTCATCCATAAAGGTGGAAAGACGTCATACAACCCCACATTGCAAGCATGGGAGATGCAAATAATTTCTATAAATGCGAAATTTGATTTCACATTGTATAAATATAATAACTTTGTTATAAAATAAAGATTACAAAAGAAACATTGCCATTTAATCTGTAATGTAATATATATCTGGTATATTTATAAATGAATTTACAGAAATTTGTAAACTAGAGTGACATGATATTATTTTTCTAATGTACAATAACAACATTACTTATTGCTCGATCTAACGATATTATATACATCAGTATGTTGACGATCTAACGATATTATATACACCAGTCTGTTGACGATCTAACGATATTATATACATCAGTCTGTTGACGATCTAACGATATTATATACATCAGTCTGTTGACGATCTAACGATATTATATACATCAGTCTGTTGACGATCTAACGATATTATAAACATCAGTCTGTTGACGATCTAACGATATTATAAACATCAGTCTGTTGACGATCTAACGATATTATGTACATCAGTCTGTTGACGATCTAACGATATTATGTACATCAGTCTGTTGACGATCTTACGATATTATGTACATCAGTCTGTTGACGATCTAACGATATTATGTACATCAGTCTGTTGACGATCTAACGATATTATGTACATCAGTCTGTTGACGATCTAACGATATTATGTACATCAGTCTGTTGACGATCTAACGATATTATGTACATCAGTCTGTTGACGATCTAACGATATTATGTACATCAGTCTGTTGACGATCTAACGATATTATGTACATCAGTCTGTTGACGATCTAACGATATTATGTACATCAGTCTGTTGACGATCTAACGATATTATGTACATCAGTCTGTTGACGATCTAACGATATTATGTACATCAGTCTGTTGACGATCTAACGATATTATGTACACCAGTCTGTTGACGATCTAACGATATTATGTACACAGTCTGTTGACGATCTAACGATATTATGTACACAAGTCTGTTGACGATCTAACGATATTATGTACACCAGTCTGTTGACGATCTAACGATATTATGTACACCAGTCTGTTGACGATCTAACGATATTATGTACACCAGTCTGTTGACGATCTAACGATATTATGTACACCAGTCTGTTGACGATCTAACGATATTATGTACACCAGTCTGTTGACGATCTAACGATATTATGTACACCAGTCTGTTGACGATCTAACGATATTATGTACACCAGTCTGTTGACGATCTAACGATATTATCAACATCAGTCTGTTGACGATCTAACGATATTTTATACATCAGTCTGTTGACGATCTAACGATATTATATACATCAGTCTGTTGACGATCTAACGATATTATATACATCAGTCTGTTGACGATCTAACGATATTATATACATCAGTCTGTTGACGATCTATCGATATTATATACATCAGTCTGTTGACGATCTAACGATATTATATACACCAGTCTGTTGACGATCTAACGATATTATATACACCAGTCTGTTGACGATCTAACGATATTATATACATCAGTCTGTTGACGATCTAACGATATTATATACATCAGTCTGTTGACGATCTAACGATATTATATACATCAGTCTGTTGACGATCTATCGATATTATATACATCAGTCTGTTGACGATCTAACGATATTATATACATCAGTCTGTTGACGATCTAACGATATTATATACATCAGTCTGTTGACGATCTAACGATATTATATACATCAGTCTGTTGACGATCTAACGATATTATATACATCAGTCTGTTGACGATCTAACGATATTATATACATCAGTCTGTTGTCGATTCGGGATGATTCAAGTACAAAAAGTAAAATAAAACAACAAATACAAAACTGTCATACATTTGAGGCCCATTATTCCCCAAAAATGCTTTTATTTTTACTTCTCAAAAGCTTTGTAATTTTCATGTACTTTCATAATATGCAAAAAGTTACTCATTGGCCAATTACCTGAACCATCTGTTGCTTTTTGGCAATAAGTACAGTTATAGTGAATTAGTATTTTGTATGGAAATCATAATTCTACTTTGTTTACATTTTACTACGATTATAACAAATTATTTCACATTTATCGCAACTTTCCTCAGCTACCAAGTATCTAACATTCTTTAAAACTATTATCTAAACATTATAAAATTTATGTTTGCTCTTTCGAAGAGGTAAAAAAAATATTTGTTTTTGAGGCATTATGTGCCTATAAGTAACATTGGAATAAAAATATGAAAATAAGGAAAGGTTTGACGTAAATCATTTGGACGTAATAATAATAATAATAATAATAATAATAATAATAATAATAATAATAATAATAATAATAATTATAATACAAGAACAAGGATGGTGACATATTTCCGTATTTATATATGATGATGATGATGATGTACTATACTAGTATTCATGCACTTTACAAATCTCTAAATGCATTTACACTTATTTCCCAATGAATTATTTAAACTGTTATTTTAGTATTTTGACATTTTTGTATAAATGTTATGCGTCAATACAGAACACATTTAAAACGTTGACGTTGTCAGAGAGAAAAAGGTCAGAAAGTCCGAAAACATTTTAACAATTAAACACGAAAAGTGTATCAAAACAATATCAAGTTTGCCACATCCGACACGCGCGTATACATATGAAACGAAAGTGCTGGAAACAAAAGTGCTCTAGATGTATTGTAAACGTCAGTTCCAGTGTTCCCACCTTCTATAATGATAAATGACTTTGGGAGATAATTCTGCCTGAATGCGAATTCTTTCTAACCAGCAGGAGAATACAAACATTTGGTCTCCGCCTAATGGCCAAGAAACTCCACCCACTCATTTGCATTCTCCAAATAATGATGCCTATAGGCGAGTGTTTACACGGGCCGTTAATTCGAATGGGGCGTATAATTGATAATAATGACTGTTACATGCTGTGAATACAGTTTACAACACTAGCAAAATGCCGTGGAATTTTAAATAAAATAGATGAGAAAACGATGAAACTACTAATCGGGGCGGGATCAAAATTTTTGGAGGATACATTAGCACTTGTCAGTACCTTAAAACTACTTTTCACTATCACTTTCTGAAAGTGTTTATCACCTTGGCTTCCAAGTTTCCATTCTTACTATCAGCACCAGAGACTTTGGGCTATCAACACGTTTAGAGACTTTGGAATTGTGTTAGAGACTTAAGACTATCATCACGGTGTACGGCGGCTTATCTTGACGCCGGGTTTCCATCAATCGACACATGGATGTAGGTTCCAACCTCTCAATGCGTGCCAATGCTTTTAGTATCAGCAATTTGATGTCCGGGCCGCTGAGTGACTTAGGGCTCGGGGGTTTTGGATATCCCTTTGTACCCCAACAGAGAAGCACGGACTGTCAGTTTGATTGGGGACAGAATGGTCCCTATGGTAACGGAATGAAAACAATGGAAGGTAAGAATAAAGACTTTTGAATTATCTTGTGATAATTTACTGAGTTTCAGGTGCGCTGATATATATTTGGATTGTCTAGAATTTGTTGAAAGGATTTTGTGAACACGCATTTTAAACGTTGATAACATAATAAAAGAATTTCATGATTTTTGTTGTAAATGTGAAGGAGAGATTTTTCTGTTTTTGTGGTTCTGTTGAAAAATGTGGCTTTTTGATGAGTAATAGTAAATTTATACAATAACGACGCAAGAACAAATATGTAAAAATGGAAGCTAACTCTATGTATTGACATATTTGAAAAAGACTGTTAGTGGAAGATTTATTAAATATTTTACTTGCAAGTAACATAGGACCATTCTCTGTAAGTATAAGATAAAGAGTCAAATAGAAATTTATACCAGTTTTATGATATAATGGTGTATGTGCACGTCATGATAATGATAAGTCCCCAGGATCATTTAAAAAAAACAATTAATGTGCAGATAAATATAAAATATTTGAGTATTGAATGTGTGCGTCCGTATACTATAGGAATATTGTTCAGTAAATGTACATTTTTCTAAATTCTGATCATGATAAAGTTTTATGTTTTGCATATTTCAGCATGTCTAATGAATGCTGGTACTGGGCGGCCATTATTCGACCCGGTCCGTCTAGATCAACAGTTACCGGAAGCTGTTCCTAGGAATAATTTAACGGACTCCTTGTTAGAAAGTGGAAAGAGCACGGATATTAACCAAAATAACTCGAAATCACCGGAATGTTCAATGTGTGAAAGTGACGGACAAGATGAAAATAAACCTTTAAATTCTAAATTAGCAAGTGTTTCTTGTCAACTTGAAATGAAATCGTTATGGGATGAATTTGATGAACTCGGTACAGAAATGATTGTGACCAAAGCAGGACGGTATGTTGTGTTTTTTATTTTATTGGTCTTATCAGGAGTTTATCTCGTTTCTCGGAACATATTTCGAAGCTTATGCAGCATAAGATAAGAACAATTTAAATTTAGCCGGATTTACCTTAAATCAATTACAAGAATCGAACGCATATCAATTATTTTCTGGATCATTATAATATGTTCACGTATTTAATATATCTATCATACTTCATCGATACTTACTACCATCAAATATATCTTTAAATTCAATAAATGATGATAATAAATGCCTGCATATTCTCTACAGTTATACATGTCTGTTTCTTATATAATATTATATAGGGTAAAAAAAAACAGTACACGAACGATAGACAATTATTGCCAATAAAAAAGAACTACATCTGTATATCTGCTTATGCTACTTTGTTTGCCTTGTAAAAACAGTATATATAATTATATATAATATTCATAATAATATATATATATATATTGTCAATTAGTTGCCATATACAAAAGCTCCAAAAATTGAAGGCCAGGTTATCAATAATATTTGATGATACCATAGCGTAAATATATGCTTATAAATGACATCAAGTGTCTGTCGAATACGAGTATATATATACATGTATACAAAATGATTTATATGTAGTGAATACTTTGTTTCTTTAACTAAAATGCGATCAAAATATATCGCCTAAAATATATGAAATAAAACTTATTATAAAAGATTATCAAATGTTGTGTAAGTTAATATGTAACGATAAGTTCAATTTCATTAATTGAACTTATCGTTACATATTAACTTACACAATAAACTAATAGGAAAAAACTGTATCATTAAGTGATGTTAGTGTTTAAAATTATTTTTTGTCCAATATGGATGCAGTATCTCAATTGAATCGTAATACATTTATTTTGGTAAATCGGCAAACTTTTAAACGACTGTTTCTGAAAATAATTTCAAATACTAAGCTTGTTAAAATTTATTGAATTAAATTGGTCGCGCGGCTGTGCCGCGCCTGACCAATTTAATTTTGTAAATACATGTACGTATTAAAAATAACTTTTCTTGTGTGTGCTTAAAAAATCTCTACTTAGTATAAGTTAAAGTTTATTAGTACTTATTTCCAAAAATGAATTGGTCTAGCGCCGCGCAGCCTCGCGACCAATTTATTTTTTTAAATACGAACTAATAAATTTTAACCGGCTTAGTGTTTTAAATTATTTTTATAAACAGTCGATTTACTACACTGATTAACAGTTTGCCGATTTAGAAAAGTAAATGTGTTACGATTCATTTGAAATACTGCAATCCTATTGGAGAAAAAGAAATTTCAAACACTAGTAATCTTTGACTACGTTTTATTTTTATTTTTATTATTTATGCCATTACATGAATATTGTGAAAAATAATGATTACCTTTGGTTTAAACTAAAAGTATTTAGATCATAAAAAAGTTGTCAAAATGTAACTTTATAAAAAAATAGGGGGTAATACACACATGAATATGGTATATTTATAAAGATAACACAATAATATAGAAATAGATTGATGACAAAATATAAAATCATTTGTTGGTAGGGCTACAAGCATGTAGAAAAACCTCTTATTCCACGTTGAGATGAAATAGAATCTAAAAGATAAACTATGCTAAGCTTTGGGGACAATTATTTTATTGAAATCTAGAGAATTCTCACTGTCTAATCTAAATAAGAGAATTCATAAACTATGTTTGGGAACTTGTCAATGTGGTCCTTTCTTAAAAACTGCATTTTTATGACACTATATTCATACTCACATTAAACATTGACTGTTTAGCAATTACCAGTATATTAGAGTATAAGTGTATCTTTTATTATTTCTAGTTTAGAGTGAATATTCAAATGGCAAAATTCAGACATGTATGCGATTATTATGAACGATAAAATAATAAAAAATAATCAGGTAACATAACCTTGGTCTATCTTCATCTTCATCAAATGAACCACTTGCCATATTGTTTGATTAATGAATATGTCTTGGAAATTGGCATGCTAGGCACAACCCAACCCCCTTGAGTGCACCCTGGGGACTGTTTTATCAGCTCTGGTGATTCCACGGGACTATGTTCTCTAATGAGCGTGAAAATGTGTAAACAAACTGTGAAATCAAGCGGGCCCGATGATCAGCAGCGATAAATCAAATGCACCCTGCCGTTTTCTGTCGAATTCAGAGATAAGCAGTTATGGTTCAATAAAAATCGGACACGGCTTATTTAAAACGAGATTTTTTAATACGCTATACGGGTATTAACTAAATTTAATGCTTTTTAAATTGGCACTAGCGGTATTCCTGTAAATATTGGTTTTGAACGGAATGTAAGAAACACTGAGTTGTATTATTGTCCGAAAATATTAACACGACCATTTGCATTCATTATCCAATAGTTAAACGACTTGAATATACCTTCCATTTTACCTATTTCTTTTAATTCTCTTGTAATTGTCTTGTTAGTATAAACTAGTGAAGATATTGCTCAGTTAGGATGTCGAAATTAGCTAAATTACAATATCTTTATTATGATTGCGGTTCCTGTCCTACCTAGATTTTTTTTAATTTCTTGCTCATTATTTTCAGCAGTATGAACTAGGTGGGCTCGAACGACACACTTTTTACACTCTACACCTTACCACAGAGCTATTCCGCATTATTCCGATCACAAATAAACTTTTTATTAACAGGGTATCAAGATTTTATCACCCAGACGGACTAGACACGGGTGACATTTCTTGAACCAGACTGTATTTCCCTCTTACCAGCTAATTAACTCAGCGGACTCGATCATCGATCATTAATTAACGGGCAGATACAATAATTGCCTCGTCTCCTACTGTGTAAGAAGACATTTCAGTTACCCATATTTCAGTATCATTTCCATTGTTACATCGCATATATACATGGCCTCAACCAATAAATTGACGCCTCTAAATTGAAACAAAATATCAAGTTGATTTCACAAAATTATACGAATGATGTTTTAATATATTTTCTCATTGGATCTCAAAAATGAGCATCGGAAAAAATATGTGAATTTCCGCTGCTCCTGATGTGCACTTTAACTTGATTTTTGAAGGAAAAATTAGGCCAATCACAGGGTTAGTTTTTAACTTTTTAAACATTTATACAAATTTCAAAGCTGTTTTTAAGAAAATCGAAATGTGATTCTACCATCCTGGCTTTCCCTTATATTAACTCATTTTTGGTCGAATTTTCATGCAGTCTTCACCGAGATATTATTTCCGTCGTGGGTTTTGGTGTGCCCAAAATATGTAATGTGTATGTGTATAAAATGTCGCTGAACGGACTCCAAACCAAACGATGCTTAATACTCAAAGAAACCATTATTGAAACATTTTTTTTTAGATTGGGCTCAAAATAAAGGAATTGCTGGTTCAAATTCCAGTCGAGCTTCATATGTGCTAAAGCGATCCATAAGTGATATAGGAAACCATCTACAGAACTACGGATCATTTTCATATAGTATTTGAATAGCCAATCTATAAGAACAATTAAAGTTCCATAGCTTTGGCTGAAAGTACATTAGTCAGTGTGTTTGGTAATTAAATATTACTACCTTAATAACCTAACTATCTGGTGCTAACAATATAAATAAATACTAAAAATCTTAAAAAATCGAGTATATATATAAAAATTTAGTACTGGTATGATAAATAATTTCGCTCTGAGAAAACGTAACTTGGACAAGATTAAACAGCTGACAAATGAAATGAACCATATTTTTGTAAAACTATTGTATCATATTATTTCCCCCTAATTATTTAAATTCGTATTTCAGATAAACTTCACGTCAAGATCCCGCAAGTATTTAATAGATTTTCACTGACAGGCACAATATTTTCTTATTGTCAGATTGTCATGCAGTGAATTGCAAGTGAACTTCTTCATAAAAACTGTTCTTAAAAGAAATATTCTACTCTTGTGTCGAGTAAACAACGAAAAATCAAATAAATATTTGTATGACAATGGTAAATGAAAAGTTATGAACTTAAATCTATTTATAATGTTGGCAGCAAACTGTTATTATAACCTAATCATTAGTGTTTATATAATCAACACTGGTAAGAATCATAAGATATACTTTTATTTTGTAGTAATTTATATTTGATAGTGACATGGGAGACCTGAATAGAAGTAAAGTGTTATACTAGTCGATATTCTGTTTCCGTTTTAGTTTGATTTTTGTAAATGGTATTCACATAATATTTTATAAAATAAAGGTACTCTATGACGACAACGATCCATGACAAATACTAATACATGTGTATTGTACTAAGGGGTGGAATAATTTGAAATAACTTTAATGAAACAAGTGACAAGGGCTTTTTTACTTCCTCAAACCTCATTTTTACCGTTATCGGCATCTTAAAGTGACACTATAGAAGCTCCCATATGTGTACGTTTGAAAAAGTCGCTGAGTTCCTAAAATAGCTATTAGTATGCTAAATGTCTTTTATCTTTTATTAAAGCTCAACTTAGGCCAATGTGTCTATATCGAATGTTACTTTTTATTACAGAATGATATACACAATAATAACACATTGTTTTATGGAAGTGATCCGTTATTATGTTGATCATTCTTATATCATGGATCTCTTCAGCACATATGGAGATTATCTATAGGTGGAATTTCGACCGACAATGCCTTTATTTTGAGACCAATCTCTATAACTGTTTCAATAACGGTTTGTTTGAATGTTAAGCTTCGTTTGGTGGAAAGAATATATCAATGAAGACTGCATAAAAATCCAAACAAAAAAATTGGTAATAAACAGGAAAGCCAGGAGGGTAGAATCAAATTTCGATTTTCTTAAAAAAGCTTTAAATTTTATATAAATGTTTACAAAATTGAAAACTTACCCTGTGATTGACCTATTTTCTCATTTCGAGTTAAAGCGCACATCAGTCACACATTTTTTTTTTACCGAGGCTCAATCTACAGATCAATATTGGGTTCCACCCCCGTGAAGTGTAAACTGCGTTTTAATTGCGGCTAGCCGGAAAACTTCATACAGATGACGTCATTGCGCGTACCGTTTATGAATTATTGCATTGGTACTTACTACTTAGTATGATGCCAATTTACCGTGTGAATTCATACGCTTCTAAGAAGAAAAGAAAATGTTAAATGAAAATAAAATAGTTATTTTCGAAATCTGATTTATATCTTATACACCAGAAAAAGAATCAAACACTGGCTTCTGTCACAGACGGGAATATCAAGCTGACGAGAACTGCATAGCTGTAAAAAAAGTTACCGTCAAGCTTGATCTTCCTGTCTGTACTGACAACCAGTGTAAAACTTTATAGTAAATTTTATGTTCCAGCTATTTTTCGGACGAAGTCCGTCTGAAATCAGTTTTATTTCCTATAAATTAGCACGAAAGGACTGAATATAAGAAGAATTTTTATTGGTCATTTTAAAATTACAACTGAAATCGGGGAATCTCATTAGTCATTCTAAAATAAAATGTAAAGGATAATTCTAACCATTCTAAAATACAATGTAAAGGATAGTTCTTACTATTATAAAAAAATAACCTTTTAAGATAGTTCTTAAATAAAATGTAAGGTATAGTTCTTGCAATTTTAAATAAATTGTAAATAAAATGTACATGAATGAGGATAGTTGGGTTGATTTGTAAATTGCTAAGACACGTCAGTTCTGTTTATCCATACTTTCTTTCACAAAACATTTTACATTGCGTTTAGATATCGTTACATTTATATCGAATAAGGATTTACTGAGTTTTTGCACAAAAGTACTTACTGGATTATAAATTTTGTTTATAATAACGAGACCACCAATTACGTTCAACAAAGTTTTTTAGTGTTTTATATTTTTCTTTTATATCATATCTGTCTGCATTAAATTAAAGATAAAATGAGTGTTGATTTTATACTATACTATACACTATCCTTTATTTCTATTTTCAATATTTCATATTTGATTTTTTAATGATACTGTCAATATTGCATATGATTAGAAAATTTATAAAGTCAAAGGTAAAAAAAAAACATGTAAAAAGGACACCTAAATCAATACTGTTAAATAGAAGTTGTCCTATTTGAAAAGACACATCAGTATCATACAAATTGATAATCTCCTGTATGTTTTTACATTTATGTATTTTAATAGTTTGAATAATTATGTTAAATTCATATTGTTCCTTGTTGAGGGCCTCATGGAAGATTGATATGTTTGTTCAAATGAGTTCTCTCGTTAAATAAAGTCTTTATTATTATTATTATTATTATTATTATTATTATTATTATTATTATTATTATTATTATTATTATCAATATGCTTTAATTTAATTTTATTTACAAAATGGGTGCTTTCTAAGCTACAAGAAGTAATTATTATGTCATTGTTAAGGAAGCATTGCTAACATTTTTATTTGTATTGAAATATGCAAGTTAAACAGTTTTACTTGGGCCGAGTATATTTTTTAAAAAATACATTCTTGTATTTTGCTAATTTTCTAAATTGGCTAATAACAGACGCAGCTCGCTTTCAATCAACGATTTCCTCAGAATCAAATCAACAAAGGCACCTGCGAACGTATGGAAACCTCAGTTTAGATTAATTTGTATATTTTATAAACAAGCAATGATGTATTTTTGTGGCCCAGACAACCCATGCGTCTATTCCAATAAACTAAGCCGACATTCATGATTACGTAATTATCTCGCACCTGATGAAAGAACGTTAAGGGAAATAATAAATATAATTCGTTATGACGGAAGAATTAATGAAACACTATCTCAATCTGGAAAGAAACTGGTCAGCGTTATTTTTTCGGCCGAGGGCCGTCTGATTTTACCTTGAATTCCGCTAAAATTAACAGTAAAGAAAAGAAAATAGGCAGAATTTTCATTAGTCATTTTAACACTAATAGCCTGTTCGATTGATACTTTAGAAGAGCTTCCGTTATAGGTAGAGGTCTGTTCGATTGCGCGATGGCAAGAAGTGTTGGAAAAAGATATAAGTCAGAATAAATATAAAAACACAATAATGATATTTTCTAGATGTTTCTAACAGCTTTCAATAAATATATAAAATTAAATATGACAGATCGCCTTTTTGATACTTTTGCGTTGGATTGGGTTTCTCTTCTAAGCTGTTCTAGTCATTATATTCTCTTCTCGAACCGGGCATAAGACGACTGAAACAAACTTTCGACTTATTTACAGTTGCAAAATTCTCCGTGGAATTAGTGTACAGTATCTACTCAATCTTTGTTTTATAATAAATTCCTATTCAAATCAAATTCCATTTTGATTAAATCAAATAATGTAAGCAATAATGTTTAAATCTAAGATGACAATTAATGGGGAAAAACATTGCGGGTAAAAATGAACTGAAATAAAACTATTGAGGACGAATAAAATGTTCTGTTTGCGGTTAGCATGGTTAGTAATCCTATGCAAGTTTACAAGTTTGACTTCTTGTTGCTCCATTTTTTTGAGTGCTACTACACATTATATTTGATATAGGGTTCAATATTGCACCAAAAGTTAAACACTACATTTTCTCATTTCTCCCTTCTTCATTTTCATTTTAATTTGCAAAAGCCATTCTATTTTTGATTTTATATGAAAATTACAAATTACCATTCATATCATTCTAACTTATATTTCCAATCATTCTGTTACAGCTGAAATGTTGTTAGAATCAAGTCTCTATGTTTGTGTATCTGTAAATGTCTAAACTCTTGTTTATTTCTTTGTTTGCTTTTGCTAGCGTATAAATGTTTTATGAATGAAAAGAAATGTTCATAACCTATACAGTTAGTGGTCATGCTATAAAGATATTTATGTGCATGTTTCAGGCGGATGTTCCCTACATTTCAAGTACGACTGTACGGTCTAGACTGTAACTCAGATTATATGGTCATGATGGACTTTGTACCGTGTGACGATAAAAGATACAGGTTTGAATATTATATTTGATATATTATATCAATTATGTGCAGTTTCAGTTATGCATTGCATGTCCAAGTTTTCGCACATTTGCCGACCTATATAATATATTTATCAGTTCGTCTTTTAGTGTTTATAACATGTTAGCTCTAAAAATGCAAAGAAAATGCTTTCAGTACAACTAATGTATGGATTAGAATTTTCAAAACCAAAATTCGTAATGCCAACTTGTATTTTGTGAAACATTTTTCGGTTTTAACATAAGATTTTTCTTTTAACTATTTAGCTTTTATTATTTTCATACGAAATCACGCATTTGATGTTATTATTATTTGTGTTTCTTCACAGATATTCTTTCCATAGTTCGAGTTGGGTTGTAGCGGGCAAGGCGGATCCTTACATGCCTGGCAGGATACATGTCCACCCAGACTCACCAGCAAAAGGCTCGCAATGGACAAAACAAATAGTTTCATTTGATAAATTAAAGCTTACCAATAACCTTATGGATGATAATGGACATGTAAGTTTAACTTTATTTGCAATATATTATGTAATTATATTTATCTTTGACTTAACAGTTTGCCAACGTGCAAATACATGTTTGATAAACATTCAGAATAATTTTGCATTTAAAAGGAAGCCAAATTAAATGAAGTTAAACCGAACATTTGTTTTAATGAATCTGTGCGGATTTGTTTGCGACTAAAGCAAAAGGTCCCGTGGAAAAACTTCATACAAAAAAACCTCAAACCGTGTAGCCTACAAGGCCTAACCGCAAGTAGGACATAAATAGAATATAATTCAGATTTTAACTGATAAAATATCAGTTCTGAAAGTAAATGGGCGCTGCAGTATGCCGGTATCATTTATTTTCTTCTGATTTTCTTGCTTTCTTGTAGACATTTTATCCCCAGTAATCTAACTCGTAATGCTATAGTCCTGTTAAACTAAGCTTTAATCAGAATAGTTTACGAAACAGGGGCTCATCTGTGATACATCAATGTCAGAATTTACTTTTGATTGACAACATATTTATTTACTGTTAAATAAATAGAAATGTAGCACAATGATGTTTTATGTTAAAATGTTTTTTTTTTTAAATTTATTTTGTTTCTATAAAATATATATGTGATAAAATTCTCTATTATATATTTGTAAAGATCAGTGAAGATTGTAATGTTTATATGAAAATAGAAGTTTACTTTTTATCATCTATTTAAGGTAACCTTTTAAATGAATAGAACATGTTTTAAATGAAAGTTATCTTAGTTTTCTAAATAGTAGTAAAGTGTGTATTTATTTTTCGTTACTTGCACTTGTAATGTCTATAACCCAAATTCATACAGTATAACAATTCCTGTAACAATTCGAATATATTATTTTCTGTATTTTAGGGACATAAATTATATAACACAAATAAAACATGAAAATATGTTTAGATTTATTAGACACATTTCAAACTTATGCAGAATATTCTATATTTTTATTTAAAAGCAGATTAAATATCAGAAATAAATGAATATTATAGAGATTTTCGTTGTAACAAATTATTTATAACATATGAGATGCCTGTCTCCAGAGTAGTGACAAACGTGAAACGATTTATGACAAAGTAAAATATAAATAAAATAGAATTTTATACTAAATTATTATCAATGTACTCAATTGCCAAAACGCAAAAGAAGAAAAGATGATTTAACTTTTTTGGCCAATGGGCACGTTTTTGTAACAGTGCCATAAAAATAAACATATTTTGAAAACAAAAATAAAGACATTTTTATTCTGAATGGACCTTTAAGCGAGTAAGTAAAGCAGTAAAGAAAGGTTTCAGAAAAAAAAATGAAAAGAAAGAAAGGCCGTCAGAAAATGTCACAGTTTATAAAAATTTCTTATATGAAAAATAAGGCTTGATTATAAATGTAAGATTTGTATAATATTTGTTGCGAAAAATGTGTAAGTAATGAAGTAGTAATTATAGTACTATGATATTTTATATTTAAATCATTTTGAACTACTATCTATAAACGTGTAAATAAATAATAGCAACATTCTATTTACATATATACCTGAGTCTGCATCTGTTCATATCCTGTTTCTATATTTGATAAAAAAAATGTTTGTGTATGAAATGTTGAAATACCGTCATTTTGACAGATAATCTGAAATTCACAATGCATGTTTAGAGACCACGGCTATAAGGATGTGTTTAACTAAAACAAATGCAGTTGTAACATTAATAAATCATTAATAATCTTAATCGTTGGATGTGTTAAATAATGTATTTATCAGGTGAATCAATATAGACACGACACATTATTTACACTATAATATTGTGCAGTATCTTTTAAGTCTGGTGTATTTTATTTTAGATTTTTTTGTTTACGTAAAAATATACTTCATGGAAGTCTGTATTATATCTTGTTGAATGAATCAATAATTATTGTAATGGTTTAATTTTATGATATACCGCATGTACTCGCCTCTATGTTATATAACAGCTGAGATCAATCGTCAGTGCGCATTCTGTGCAAGTTCCTGACTAATCATAACATAACATAACATAATGTTATGTTATGTATGTTATGTTATATATTACCATTTTTATAGCCTGAAAGTGATGGAAAATAAGTTTATTCAGATTTGAATTTATTATGGATTTAATTTCAATTCATCTAGTGTTTTGCCGACTGAAATTGTTATACATTTTGGGCAGGTTTATCAAACCTGCGGTGTTTTAGTTAGTCGCAGACCTACGAGTTTAGCCACGTGTGCGTTTTAGTTAGAATAGTCACATAAAGTGTTCTAGTTTTTTCTTTTGGAATCAGGCATTTTTTAAAGTGTTTAAAACATATTTCACCATGAATTTTGGATACAAAAGTTAGGATTTTTTGTCCGACATTCTTTCAATCCATATCTCTAAAAACAATTTATAAAAAACACCCAAAACTATCCACCCGATCATGCAAAAAAATCGTCTGCATATTTTTAACGAGCCTGTTTTACATGTCTATCATCGCCGACTTAATGACTTCTGAATTGCAAAGCGTGGCTAACCTTCCTATCACTGATCGACGTCCGATATGTACACGGTTTTCACGAGTTCTGATAGATTCATGAATGTTTCAGAATAAAACGGTCAAATTCGTTATCAAGTGCTGTCTATATGGAATTCTAAATCTTTTATGCATGATACATATCAAATTCCTATTGTAACTGACTTGTTCTCATAGTCTTCACGAGTTTCCATCTCTATCAGTGATTCAGTTTTCATAAAAAGGCCCATTTATCAGAAGAATTATTATTGCATTTACATGTTTTAAACAATTAGATATGGAAGTGAAAGCTCGTTTTAATTTAAAGTATAATCGTTCTTTATTTGTTCATTAAATGAGCAAAATTTTCCTAAGAATAAATACAAATGATTATTTTTACTTTCTTACTCTGTTCGTAATGATCACCGATATTTTAGAAAAACATGCTTTTATTTCTCCAAGTACAGTTAACGCGATCATTCATTAAAATTGTATTTCTTGTTATTTTTTTATTTGCAGATTATATTGAATTCCATGCACAAGTTCCAGCCTCGTTTTCACGTTGTCTATGTATATCCAAAAGCGGAAGATTGCTCAAAAACACAAAACTATAAAACATTTATATTTCCTGAAACAAAATTTATGGCCGTGACAGCCTATCAAAATCATCGAGTGAGTACATCATTTTCATTGTAAAATAATTACTTTATTGCACTTTTCTGTAAAATGATATGTGATACTGTCTACTATATAAGTCAAGTTTAAAGGCGGCGCCGGTTATTTTGACGGTATTCACGTGTTTTTTTTTGTTGATATTAATTCTGTTTCTTCAATTCTAAATAGTTATAACCTAAGGAAACAATGTTTATAGGTGCCCTTCTAGTAAAAAAAATCGAATTACTGATGACAAGCAGAAATCCAAAAGAACTTATCAATTAATCAAAATATTCATACATTGCTTTTAAAAAAAAAGAGAGGTACAAAATAATTAAAACTCAGATGATATGTAACTTAAGAGCACGTGTTTACCTTTTTATATATAAATGAATGTGTATTGGTTATTTGTATGCTCATACTATATCATGTTAAATTAAGATTATGTTATGCTATTTAACAAATAATATATCCCAAGCGCATAAATCACTTTTTGGAGAATTATATCACGAGGGATTAGCCCGATTGACATAATGATGCGCTTACGGAACGTCGGTGGTTCTAATCAGGTGCCCGTTCGAGCCTGAAATAATGCACGGAAGGACACCTGAGGTCTTCCTCCACCAGTCAAGCTGGAACGTCGCCAAATGACCTATACTGTGTCGGTGTGACGTAAAACCCAATCAAGCAAAACAAACAAAATAATGATGCGCATCCGAACGCCACATGTATAATTTTTACGTCACATGTCTAAAATATAGAACGTCAAACAGTAATTTTATTTAAGAAATAATATATCCCAAACAGTAATTTTATCGCTTAATAACATCACTGTTTGGAATTCGGATACGAGGAATTATATCACGAGGGCATAGCCCGAGTGATATAATGATGCGCACCCGAACGACAAACAGTGATTAAAATCACAGATTTGGATGTACCATTTCGATTCAGTTTGGATGTATTATTTCTTAAATAAAATATAATTGAAAAATATGCAAAATGTAAAAATAATTATAGGTTTTAATTGTAATAGTGGGGAACCAGATACTAAATGGTAATAGTCGGAAACTAGGTTTTAATTGTAATAGTGAGGAACCAATTAAAATGATTTTAGTGAAGAACCAATTATAAATGGTAATAGAGGGGAACACGGTTTAAATGACAAAAGTGAAGAACTAATTATTAATGGTAATAGTGGAGAAAACGATTTAAATGACAATAGTGAAAAACAATTTAAAAGGTAATTGTTGGGAACCAAATTTGAATTGTATTTGTGGTAATAGTTGGAGACCAAATATAAATCGTAAAAGTGGGGAATATTGATATATTACAAGAGAAATATGTTAATTTTCATTTCCTCGAAATGAAAATTAATTCCGTATTCTAAGAAGAAACTTTCTGTTTATTATATACTTTTTCTTTGCTTCGACAATCAAATAGTTATGACATTTGATTTACTTTCTTTTATTTTCATTTATTTTAAAATGAATTTTAAAAAAAGTATTCCTGCAAGACACCAGTGAAAATAAGGAAAATATGTTTTGCTGCAATAAAAATAAATTTTTATGGTGAAAATATGAAAAATGAAAGTATGCATTTTATTTCATCAATATCTAATTTATAAGTATATTATAAAAAACTTAATATAATTGTGTATTGTATTTTATATTTCAAACTTTATATTACAATATATTGTATTATAAAACTGTTGATATCATTGTGTAATATAAAGTTGATATCATTGTGTTTAATAAAAAGTGTTATCATTGTGTATTATAAAAGTTGATTACAAGTTGATATGTGTATTATAAAAGTATATATGATTGTGTATTATAAAGTTGATATCATTTTGTATCATAAAAGATGAAATCATTGTATATTACAAAAGTTGATGTGAATGTGTATTATAAGAGTTTACATGATTCTGTATTATAAAAGTTGATTTCATTGTGTATTATAAAAAGTTATATCAGTGTGTATTATAAAAGTTGATTTTATTGTGTACATGTATTATAAAAGTTGATCTTATTGTGTATTATAAAAGATGATTTTATTGTGTATTATAAAAGATGATTTTATTGTGTTTTACAAAAGATGATTTTATTGTGTATTATAAAAGATGATTTTATTGTGTGTTATAAAAGTTGATTTTATTGTGTATTACAAAAGTTGATTTTATTGTATATTACAAAAGTTGATTTTATTGTGTATTATAAAAGTTGATTTTATTGTGTATTATAAAATTTGATTTTATTGTGTATTATAAAAGATGATTTTATTATGTATTATAAAAGATGATTTTATCGTGTACAGGGTCTTTCAAATTTCTATTTGAAAGACCATGTTGTGTATTATAAAAGTTGATTTTATTGTGTATTTTAAAAGTTGATTTTATTATGTATTATAAAAGTTGATTTTATTGTGTATTATAAAAGTTGATTTTATTGTGTATTATAAAAGTTGATTTTATTGTGTGTTAGAAAAGATGATTTTATTGTGTATTATAAAAATTGATTTTATTGTGTATTATAAAATTTGATTTTATTGTGTATTATAAAAGATGATTTTATTATGTATTATAAAAGATGATTTTATCGTGTACAGGGTCTTTCAAATTTCTATTTGAAAGACCATGTTGTGTATTATAAAAGTTGATTTTATTGTGTATTATAAAAGTTGATTTTATTGTGTATTATAAAAGTTGATTTTATTGTGTATTATAAAAGTTGATTTTATTGTGTATTATAAAAGTTGATTTTATTGTGTATTATAAAAGATGATTTTATTGTGTATTATAAAAATTGATTTTATTGTGTATTATAAAAGTTGATTTTATTGTGTATTATAAAAGTTGATTTTATTGTGTATTATAAAAGTTGATTTTATTGTGTGTTAGAAAAGATGATTTTATTGTGTATTATAAAAATTGATTTTATTGTGTATTATAAAAGTTGATTTTATTGTGTATTATAAAAGTTGATTTTATTGTGTATTATAAAAGATGATTTTATTGTGTATTATAAAAATTGATTTTATTGTGTATTATAAAAGTTGATTTTATTGTGTATTATAAAAGTTGATTTATTGTGTATTATAAAAGATGATTTTATTGTGTATTATAAAAGATGATTTTATTGTGTATTTAGATAACACAACTGAAGATAGCCAGTAATCCATTTGCGAAAGGTTTTAGAGATGTCGATCCTAACGACTGGTAAATACTTTTAAACTTTTTATTTTTGTATTCTACGAAAACAAGTAAGCAAACTGAGGTATTCAAGTTTCCTGTTTAAAACATCAACATTTTTGTTTTTAATATTCCTTTACTTAATTCAAATACTAATGTCTGATAAATAATTTACGGTGTTTTCGCTGATACTAACAAACGACTCTTGTAACTGTATAGAGTCTTCTGTTACAATAAATGTTTTACCAGATGGGGGCTAAATGTGGTAATTGCATTCTCCCTTTTTATGTCGATACTTCTAATTTCATTTCACAAACTTCTTTCTTTTTATAAAATACAGACTATTACTAACATGATATCTATTTACATTTTATATGATTTCAGTTATAGATATAGTATTCTTTTACTTTTATTTTTGCGTTCAAATTAGTTTTTATATGTTTTCTATTAGTATGGTAGACGTTTTGTCACAGATGTCTCCACATGGGCAACAGCGGAACCACAGCCGTCCAAGCTCCCTGCAAATGATGGGTACCAGTAGAAAAGGATCTCCAACTTCCAAATGTACATATTGACATAAAAACTTATTTCCGATAAATGAAAATTATAAATGTTTTCACCAAATGCATTTATTTATATGATTAAATTGTACTGTGTTTTTATCATTCACACTTAATACGAAATATTTAATCCTTCAGAACTGATTTCCCTACAATCTATATACAATGTTTTCGAGTATTACAAAAGTAGAAATTATTTGTGTGACTTTTTTATGTTAGAACGCATGTGTAACAACCTATTGTTAATAATATATTTGCTAATTAAACATCAGTATTTCTTTAATCATTTTAGCTTCGGAAGAGGCCAAAGACATTCAACAAACAGACGTAATGGCGGCATCTAGTTTCGCGCCAAATTTCAATCCTAACATGAGACTGTCCTCTTCCTATCCTACAGCAGAGACATTTGCTTACGCACAATATGCGCATGACACATATCTCATGGCAACGAAATCGCGACCTTCACCTTACAGTCGCTCAATGGACTATGCATACAGACCGCCAAATATTAAAATGTCGTACGCCCAGAGTGCACCAACAAGTTTTGGATATAATTATGAAGCAAGGTGAATTAGGGGTTCCCTCAACATTTACAGAAACATTTAACATGTCTGGATACTGTATCAAGATGTTCAAGTTTACATTTTAAAGGATAATTTATTACAGACAAAATTCCGGATTTGTTTAGGACGAGAGACAGTTTCAAAATATTAATATATTTGAAACATCCAGGAGCAAATATTTCACAATAAAGCATATTTCGTATTCAAACAAAGGATCTTTCTTACGAATGACGTACTTGCTGGTATGATCTCTGTGAAAATCTTTTAATTTTTTAAAAAGCTAATTTGAAATGCGCATGTGTACTGGAATAATTATGTTGAATTCAAAATATTTTGGAATATTAATTTATCTAAAACAATTAAATATTTTCAAACACGGGATATATTACCTTGCCCTTTTTACATAAAATGCAGCATTTTATTTCTAACATAATTAATGTTATGATCATAAATTCCATTATCTGAATTTTTTTATAACCGTTACACACATTTCTGCACTTTACAGAATTTGAACGCAAAAAGAATTTGCAACTTAACGATAAATCGTAATTTTTTTTAGATAGCTTGGATCATATTCTATCATACGAAATATAATAAGTTTTTGGCCAGTTTTCATTAAATACGAGAAACACTTTAGTTGCTGTTTAAATAATTAGATCTTATTATATTACAGTCTTTTATTTTTTAATTTGCATTGTGATAAACGATCAATTTTGTTCATTTCGGAAGCAGATATTTAAAGTTATTTTCATTACACAAAATATCCATTTCTTTTCGTAATACTATGTTGTAAGGATAAGGTTAGTACCGAATATTCGCCTTTCAATATGCTGCCATTTTGCTTTAGAGTAGAGTAAAGCTGTTTGAAATGTATGATTGAAATCTTAAGTGTTCGTGACCTCCACTTTAAAAGGGAATCATTGCAAAACGCAAAAGGAATTAAATTTGATCGGATCTAATTTATTATATTATATTTTGATTGAACAATCTGACACAATGAAGAAAATACAGTTGATTAGGAAACTCGCCTTTAAATAGAGACATAATAAAAGCAAGTAAAGAATTGTTGTTATGTATGATATACAGTTTAATATACAGTTTATCTACATGATTAGTGTACCTTACTATCTACCATGTTTATGGTAAATGTATTATAAAGTTCAAACATGTTTTGTTCTATGTCAATATTGTTTTCTGAGTAAATTTTGTGTTTATACAAATAAATTATTTTTCTTCAGAATGGTTATTTCAGTTTTATACTGCTTATATAACAAACTTGCCTGCTAATGTATGTAAATTCAATGACATTATAAATCATTAGATTAGAAGACTATTTATGTTATGCTCGATTCTTTTCTGCTACATTCATGTAATGCTGTATTAAAGAGATTACTGTAAACTTAAGAGACGTAAATACTTCAAAGAATGAGTCAGTATTTAAGTAACATAATCTTTTCAACCAACGGTATAAATGTTAACAATAAACACAATTGATTTAAAATCAAAAGGACAAAGAAATCATGTTTTAATATAAAAACAACTTTAAGTATAATGCTAATTGTAACTGTTTCTGGCTTACCAGCTGACGTTAATGGCTGAGTGTACATGTGTATATAACAATTTGTTTTCAAACTATCAGGTTTTGATACATGCGATGAAGGATGATGTATGATAAAGAGGTCTATTTTGAATATCAAGTTGTCATCCAATTGCAATTCTGCCACCATCGTTTCCATTTTTATTTTATTTTTATAAAATATAATGAACACTCTTTACAATTTGAAATGCAATTAGATACTTAAGAAATTAACTTATTTTGACGCTATGGGTTATATATTTAGTAGGGGGCATATCCTTTTAATTTCATCAAAATATCATTTGAACAATCGGATTATCTGTCACCGTACTTAAAATTTGTATTATGTTTTTGATGCTCGAGAGATAACGCATGTAGTGGTGTATGGACTAGATATTGTAGTAATATACTGTAGTGGTGTATGACTAGATATTGTAGTAATATACTGTAGTGGTGTATGACTAGATATTGTAGTAATATACTGTAGTGGTGTATGACTAGATATTGTAGTAATATACTGTAGTGGTGTATGACTAGATATTGTAGTAATATACTGTAGTGGTGTATGGCTAGATAGTGTAGTAAATATACTGTAGTGGTGTATGACTAGATATTGTAGTAATATACTGTAGTGGTGTATGACTAGATATTGTAGTAATATACTGTAGTGGTGTATGACTAGATATTGTAGTAATATACTGTAGTGGTGTATGACTAGATATTGTAGTAATATACTGTAGTGGTGTATGACTAGATATTGTAGTAATATACTGTAGTGGTGTATGACTAGATATTGTAGTAATATACTGTAGTGGTGTATGACTAGATATTGTAGTAATATACTGTAGTGGTGTATGGCTAGATAGTGTAGTAAATATACTGTAGTGGTGTATGACTAGATATTGTAGTAATATACTGTAGTGGTGTATGACTAGATATTGTGGTAATATACTGTAGTGGTGTATGACTAGATATTGTAGTAATATACTGTAGTGGTGTATGACTAGATATTGTAGTAATATACTGTAGTGGTGTATGACTAGATAGTGTAGTAAATATACTGTAGTGGTGTATGACTAGATATTGTAGTAATATACTGTAGTGGTGTATGACTAGATATTGTAGTAATATACTGTAGTGGTGTATGACTAGATATTGTAGTAATATACTGTAGTGGTGTATGACTAGATATTGTAGTAATATACTGTAGTGGTGTATGACTAGATATTGTAGTAATATACTGTAGTGGTAGATATTGTAGTAATATACTATAGTGGTGTATGACTAGATATTGTAGTAATATACTGTAGTGGTGTATGACTAGATATTGTAGTAATATACTATAGTGGTGTATGACTAGATATTGTAGTAATATACTGTAGTGGTGTATGACTAGATATTGTAGTAATATACTGTAGTGGTAGATATTGTAGTAATATACTATAGAGGTGTATGACTAGATATTGTAGTAATATACTGTAGTGGTGTATGACTAGATAGTGTAGTAAATATACTGTAGTGGTGTATGACTAGATATTGTAGTAATATACTGTAGTGGTGTATGACTAGATATTGTAGTAATATACTCTAGTGGTGTATGACGTATGACTAGATATTGTAGTAATATACTGTAGTGGTGTATGACTAGATATTGTAGTAATATACTGTAGTGGTGTATGACTAGATATTGTAGTAATATACTCTAGTGGTGTATGACGTATGACTAGATATTGTAGTAATATACTGTAGTGGTGTATGACTAGATATTGTAGTAATATACTATAGTGGTGTATGACTAGATATTGTAGTAATATACTATAGTGGTGTATGACTAGATATTGTAGTAATATACTGTAGTGGTGTATGACTAGATATTGTAGTAATATACTATAGTGGTGTATGACTAGATATTGTAGTAATATACTGTAGTGGTGTATGACTAGATATTGTAGTAATATACTGTAGTGGTGTATGACTAGATATTGTAGTAATATACTATAGTGGTGTATGACTAGATATTGTAGTAATATACTATAGTGGTGTATGACTAGATATTGTAGTAATATACTATAGTGGTGTATGACTAGATATTGTAGTAATATACTATAGTGGTGTATGACTAGATATTGTAGTACACTATAGATTCATACAACATAAACTCCAGAAAACTATAATAGTAACATTGTTGTATAATTATATATGGTCATAAAGACATAGATCTACTGCACTCCAAAGTCTTGTCTGAACACTTTGAAATTTAATTAAATTTATTAAATTAATTTAAATTTTGCATTCCCTTTAAGAAAGGATTATGACTGTATTAGTGAATATATAGAGACGTAAACGTCCTGAACGACGAGATATATTTTCACCAGTAAAATAACTACCAAAAACACTCTAACATTTTTACATAATCGCAAATATTTCAACAAAACTGGAAACATATTATATATAGTAATTGCTCATTCCGAACACTTTAATACAGAAAAGTAGAAAGGTATACAGAATAAAAGAATAGAATGGAACAAGGATACACGCACAAATATAAGCATATGTATCACATCACGTATCTCTTTCTACACCCCATCACCCATATCTTCCTGTCAGACCAGAATCCGTCTAATACCATCACAAATTAACACGTTATATAAACACAATTTCCCTAGTATAAACACTGCAACACGGCCGTCGGATGTAGATAAATGAAACGCTCGAAAACCCCGCCAATGAAAAATGAGAACACGAGGACCTTATAACCTTTGTACATTGCTCGATACGTCACAGCGGAATGTTTTGTTTAGTTTTTGGTGAATTTTCGATCAGAATTGGAATTTGATGTGGCGAATGGTATTTCGAAAATTATGTAAGGTTGTGGCCTAAAGTTGTGCTGGGAAATGTCGGTGGTTTTTTGTCGCCGCACGTGCAATTTACACAATTTAATTTTTGAAAAGAAAAGCTGGTGACATTAAATGGCATAAGCGTTCATTTTTCAATAATGACAGTGATTAAAATAAGCAGAAAATTATTGATAAAAATTGCAATTTTAAAAAGTCACGACAGCTATCAAATATGATCTGTAACTAATGACAGTTGATCCAAAATTATAGCTATTTGTGTATATCATCATATTAAACATTGACAATTATTCCAATTGCGGGCCTGTCATTTCCTTAGATACATTTCCCCCAAATTTTGTGCGAGTTTAAAACATGGGGTGTGTAAAGTTCATCATTGTCAACAATGTTAAACAATGTCATTCTAAAATTATAATACCAAACGTAACACACTTGAAATAATAATAAAAAACGTTGGGAAGAAGAAAATAAAATAACAATTGACGGTAATAGCGAGATCATCAACCAGAGAAACGCCGGAAATGTAGACAAACACAGACAGAATACGGTAAGATAGTCCGAGATAACAATAATATACAGTCACGTGTCTCTGTCGTTCCCGCCTACCAGCTTCTGTGGCCAGATAACCTATCTTAATGTATGTGTCACTGCGCATTATTTCAACACGTCGTGACACAAACCTAATTATTTTCATAGTTTCACCAAAATTTCTCTATAGCGGTCTATAACAATTCAAAGTGTCGTTTTATAAGAAATATTGAATACTTTCAAATGAAAATTTAAACAATATAAAACAGTTACAGTTATATACTAGATAAACGCATATTTCATAAATAATGTTATAATTTTATATGAAAATGATATAAAATACATGTCATCTTTCAAAGGTAAAAAAAATATAATAAAGTATAATTATTAGTATTTTATTGCGTTTTGAGACACGGGCAAATACGTTTTTGCAAATTAACAGGTATTTTTTATAATATAGGGTGTAAATCAAGAGTGATAAAACTAACAAGTTTAGTGGCACTTTTCTACCGTCCACTAATTGACTCTTTATGATACATTAACGGCAGGGCTTATCATGACATTGCGGGAATACGTCGGCCGACAGCCATGTTTTATGGCGCTTTAACAGATATATGCCTGATTCTACAACAGTTTGCCTTAATTATTCTCTATTTTATGGCAAATGCATGGTGGATTTTTGACAGAAACAAATTGCTGGAATAAAAATGTGAAATATAGCCAAGATTAAGATTTTATCGACTTGATATATTAACATGTTACGCCACTGTTTTCCCCGGATTACGCTCTCCCTTTACATGTCAAAATAACGAGGGCAACGCATTACACAAAACGCAAGTTTATTTCTGGAGTTAAAAAGAAATAGAAAGTGTACTATGACTAAAGAAATATTAGAAATTTCGTTAGAACGGTAAAGATCCGCAACGGCAGTTAATGCTGCATGCCTCCAAATGAGCCAAAATATTTTTTTATGAAACTTCAGAAAAATGTACTCAGATTTAAACAAAAGTAAAAACAGTTAAGATTCAAGTAATAATTTCAACATGAAGGTATCTCAAGCATACATATATCTATATATTGTAGATCAACATAAAGGTATCTCAAGCATACATATATCTATATATTGTAGATCAACATAAAGGTATCTCAAGCATACATATATTTATATATTGTAGATCAATATATAGGTATCTCATGCATACATATATCTATATAATGTAGATCAACATAAAGGTATCTCATGCATACATATATCTATATATTGTAGATCAACATAAAGGT